TAACCTTGCTTCCGCACTAAAGTTGGGTATACGCATGAAGAATTTCGACATTGCTACATTGGAGAAGTTCACGAAGTTGTGCGAGGAGTATCAAGTCCTCACTGCCCGTTTGAGTGGCCAGCCGGAAGAAGAAGCGCGACCTACACAGCCGATCTTTAACAGACTACGCGATGGCCTATAATTTGGGTACAGGCTGATATATTTCGGAATCCCCGAAGGGCTTGACTACAAAGACGAATAATAGTCCTTATGCATCTCGATATCCAAGTCTCCAAACCGTCTGTTTCCTGCAACGTGACTAGCGAGTCGGCATGGCGGCTGTGTGCTTGCGCATGGAGTTCATTCTTCCCATTCTGCTATCAATCTTGTGACTGATGCTCCAAAAACCTCGAAGGCAGTGGCTCGGCTAGTCGAACCTCCTCGACACCCTGGATAATAGCAATAAGCCGCGCTCGCCCTTGTTCAAGAGTCCAAGCGCTCGGAACATGATTGGGGTCAAGTCCGCGGAACAGATATTCGAGCTGATGATCTACAAGAATGGTTGGTCAGCTTCGTACTTGTCGATAGCCCACGCCACAGCTTGTACTTACCCCCCATATTGTCAATACATTCCAAAGTCTCGGGAAAACCACGAATGGGCTCATTCGTCCTCGGATTGTGGATAGATAGCAAAATCGTATGTCGGTCGGCTTGAGCATTATAGGCTGTCGCGTGTGTGTTGTGCTCCCTATCAAGTTCTAGTATGACAACAAAGCATAGCGTTATGCGCACTCACCTCGCTTTTCTGACCAACAAATCTTTGTACACAACAGACAGTGTGCGACTTTCGGCATCCATAGAAGCCCGAAGACGCAACACATTGTCGTGGAGACCTACAACCGTCCTTTCGAGGGAGGCAAGGCGTTGATTGAGGTTCTTGATATCGGTGCGGACAGTAGCGTACTCCATAGCAGCAGTCAAAGGGATGATGGAAATGGCTTGCAGCTGACCGACTGTAGAGTGTAGCTGCGACTCGAGAAAGGCGAGCTCAGCTTGTCTGTTGCGCATTTTGGAGTTGGTATACAAGAGCAGATGATGTTGGAGAGACCCTTCAGTGGATGTTTGGTCGACGTGAGGTAACGATTATGAGGGGATCGAAAGCTTGAACCACCCAAGAGCCGCGAAGAGAGAGAGCGCGTAATATTGAACATTCTGGAAAGCCCGCGAATATCCCTTCGCAGATGCACAGACGTTGCGAGTTGCTGTTAAAGGCTGATCGACCCCTCGGTGACTAGAGACCACTTCGAACTCGCCCATCGAAGACGTCAACATACCACTGTGACTAGAGACCACTTCGAACTCGCCCATCGAAGTCGTCAACATACCACTGCCATCATGGAGAACAACCCCTACGACATCGCATCGCAGCTTGAGGCAACCGCTGCCCAACTCCGCGCCTTCAGCACCCTCCCAGAGACTCAACGCGATGGGCCCATCAAGCAAGCTATGGAATATATGCTGGGGCAAGTCTGCGATGTATGCGAAAAGGTACGACAATTGAATCACAACTACGTCGCTCTCAACAAACAGGTTCAGGCACAGTGAGTGACATGGGAGGATTCGAAATAATCGAAACACGTATTAACAAGTATATGCCAGTATCTGGAATACCGCGATGCGCCAATATCACAGTACATACAAACTTTCTGAGATGAGAATGGGTCATATGCGCGACGTCAAGACGAATGAGCCTATCGCCGACTTTCCATTACGAGCAAAAGACTTCCGCAATCTGGATTGTACGTACCTCCCTGCATGGAACATTTTTTTTATCCACGCTGATCGATGTTAATATAGCCTCTGAGTGTGAACGTATTGCAAACGCGTTGGGAAGGGTGGAAAATTTAGGCGAAATTGGAGAGAGGCAACAAACAGTCATCCACTTGGTCGGACTCGATACTGCCGCCGTTTACCACTGGGTGTAGTCGCCACTTAAATAATAAACTTTAATTCTGTTGTAGGGCGGTCGATAGAAGACTATCGTCGTAGCTTTGGCGTGGGAGACGAGGCTGGGTCGGTGGTACGCGTATCATAGTGACATGTTGATCACGTCGTTAGAGTCAAGAGTGTACGTCGACGTGTAATTCACGGTGTTTGAGTCGACTGAACTCCAAAGAAGCAAATGGCTGATGCAGATTTCGTAGAGTTGATGAGACGTGCCGGCAAGAGGGCGGTCGGATGACAGTCAGCCGCATCGCTGACGTAATTAGCGTATTGTAGGCGTCATTTCCAGCCCGCATCGCGCATGCTTGCACCTCGGTTCTCAACACTACGGGCAGACCTCGCAAACTCATTCGAACACTGTACGGTTGCGACGTTCAGCCAATGGTACAACACCTGTTGCAACACTCCTCAACCGTGGATGAGATTCCCATGATTTCGGGCGCTGATTAATGCGCGCCTGGAATGGGCGCGTTGAGCTTCCCGAGGTCACGCGTCACCGACGCGGCGCATTTTTTTACAGATCACGTACGACCGATAGTCATGACCTGAGTCCTTGGTCAGATATCCTCGACTTTACAGGTCTCCTTCTTCCAGAGAAACGAGATGTGAGCCACCTTGCAAACACACATCGCGCACTCACTACTGTTACCATGGTTATGCATCGATGCGTTCCAAGGTTACCACCTCAGTCGCCTCCGGCAGATTAGCGTTGCAATGTACCCAACGATTCTAAGGTAGAGATCAGAGTCATCGCAATTTCATCAATGCGATGTGCGCGGATACATCAAGCTCGTATGAGTCATCTCAAACAATGTAAGGCGTCTACTCAGTATACCTAGGTGCATGGCTCAAAGGCTTCACTATGCATCAACGGCATACCCAACACCATGACGAGCGACGCATCTTCCACAGCGGAAAGTAGTTTCCATACCAAGGAAATGGCGACTGCGCTCGGAGAGATTAACCGCAACCCGCCTCGAAGGCCCCAGACTTCATCATCTACTACCAAATCGAAGGCGACATCAGCACTTCGAGCGAAGCAAGAGACGCGCAAGTTTCGCGGCACTTCCACCCCCGACCTGGCTCTTGACATCGACATGGACGAGTTCACATCCTTCACACAGTACCTGCGATCATCGAAACGCGTTCTAGCCCTCGTGGGTGCTGGTTTGTCGGTTGCTTCGGGGCTTTCGACATTTCGCGGCGACGATAGAAGATGGAGAGGTATAGAGCCTCAGGAACTTTCAAACATAGAGGCCATGACGCAGGACCCGGTGAAGGTATGGTGGTTCTTCAGCGATCGGATGAAGCGTGCGCAAGAGGCAAAGCCAAACCGGGGGCACATCGCGCTTGCGAAACTCGCAAAGGAGAAGAGTGGATTCTTCGCAATCAATCAAAACATCGATGGTAAGCAGACCTCTCAAGGCTAGGGCCTGGAAGAATGTCGACTAACACTATCTAGGTCTATGTCAACGAGCGGGCATACCGGACGAGCAGGTCGCGCAAGTACACGGCACCCTGTTCGAGATGAAATGCAGCAAACACACCTCAGACTCTACCGACCGTTGCGACTACAATACGCCCGTCTCCTATCCTGCCACCGAGGCGCTCACGATCACATCCGACATCAGCGACGCGTCCGTCCCTCTACCTCCTCTCGATCATACCCAGCTCCCTCATTGCCCACGGTGCGACAGCCTCCTGCGACCGAGCGTTGTACTCTTCGGCGAAATTTTATCGAGCAACCTCACCGAGGCTATACACTCTTTCGTCTCTTCCGAACCTCTCGATCTGTTGCTGGTAATCGGTACGAGTGGCGTTGTCCTTCCGGCAGCGATGTATATACCCAAGGCTCGCAATGCTGGTGCGAGGGTCGCATATTTCAATATGGAAGAGTATCGTGACGAGCCTGGATGCGTCTGGGCGGGCGACTGGATGTTCAAAGGTGATGCCGCGGTCATGGTCCCTGAGCTCCTAAAAGCGATCGTGGGAAATGTCGGAAGTGTGTGATAAGGAGTAAGTTGCCAATGCAATCTTAAGGGAGATAGAGTCAAGTGCTATTGGCCCTCACTCGGAGAAGCCAGGTTGCTGAACAACGAATTGAACGTGGCAACTCATGCATGGAAAAAGATTGAACAGGCCCGGAGCCTACATCAACGTTAGGTCTCCTACTTTGCATTAGCCTGCACACCCGTTCACCTTTTTTCCCCATGTTGGCATGACACCGTAGCTGTCAATCTCACTTGGGCGTGGATATTGTGTTTGTTTGCTACTGGCGCACGTGCCATGTGCGACTGCCTACTTGGGCCACGCAGCTCTCCTGCTCTTACTCCGCGACGACGTCACTCGGGTACCTACCTGATTCAATTTTGCACTCACTCTCGTCTTCCTCTTTCGCGCCTCTGCAATGCGGAAGTGACCCCAAACGCCAATCGAACAGACGTACCTGAACGATCCTTTCGACGAGGCCAGACAGCGCAGGCGTGCTCTACTGCGATTGCGACTGCTCCAATACTCTCCACAGTCTTAAAAGCATTCAAGAAGGCTTTGTGCGATGTCGTCAGTGCAGCAGACAGCGCAGCGCGCCTGGACGCTACCGCCGGCGGTATCAAATGTCACTAATCCCCTCGCGGTCGCCCTGGCTTTGTATCCAATACAGGAAGTAAGGCATACTTCCGTGAGCCTCTTACTCTATGCGCCTTGCTAATTCTGATCTGCAGGCCCTAGTCTCACTCCTGGTACCGGAGAGACTCATCGCTCTTACCCAGCTCTGCCAAACTGTTCATGGCCACATTCGCATGGACGATGCGAGTGCAAAAGCCAATCTTCTTTCCAAGACACTCTGCTCCGGATTCGGTTCGTTCGTCAGGATGTCTACTCATTGCCCCTGTCCAGCGAAGACATTCCATCCTGTGATGGTTTGCTCGAAAGGTGGATTTGGAACAGAGTCACACCCGTGTGTGGGATGTGGTGTCAACACTTGCGACGAGTGCCGCATCCATGTTTTCTACAACTTCATGACAGACGATTCTGGGCTCGATCAGCGTCGATGGTGGGCAGGCTACTACTTCCTCAACCCCATGGCTGTTGCAGTATGTCCACCTAAGAACTCCGATGGCAGCGCCTGGCATCTACCTGTCAAGGAGATGCTACCTCGCCATGACCAGGGCCGCGTGCACATTCCCCTAGCGATCGGTGCTCTAGGCGATCCCGAGCCGATTGAGCCGATTCTCGATCTGAATTTGGGTACCCACCAGTTCATCAGTCCCCGTGGGCGTACACAATTCCCCTACTCTGGCAATAACATCGTCTCGTTTCTCAACCTGACTGTCAACAAGCGCAAAGACCTCGCATGCCCTTCCTGTTACCTGGAACGCCAGAATCAAGGTGTGGCGCCTTGTTCCTGCACCCTACGGAAGCGCTTCCTAGACCGATGGTTGTGTATGCACTGCTATATCGAGGAGGTAAATGTTGATGAACAGCTCCGCCGTCATGTCGTGAAGGCAAACGAGGTCGGACAAGGCCACATACACGTGTGTGGCTGCGGAACGGAATTCACACCAGATATCATGCCAAAAGTCATGTGCAACTGGTGCAAAGGCGAGATCACAGAGCTCGAGCAGGGCACTGAGGATGATGCCACCAGTGAGAATGCCGAAGACAACAGCGAAGAAGAAGAGGAACTCGAGAACGGAGATGACGAGGAGGACCATTCGGCGGCTGACTTTGCGGGTCTGCCTCTGGACGAGTTTGGCTACGCTGAGAACCGCGACGGGTCTCTTTCGGTGTACGTGAACGGCGAGTGCATCCGCGGAGAACGTTTGGGACGAGCTATGATCCGCCAGTGGAAGAGAATCCAGGGTGAGCACGTTGAATGTACTTGCTGTATCTGCGACGAGAAGGACTCTATGCATGCTCACGCGGGGGATGATTCAGGGGACGAGGACGAAGACGAAGACGAGGGCGAAGATGGCGAGGATGACGATGACGATGATCTACCAGATCTGGAAGACGTCGAGTCAGCTGCTGGCTTCGAAGATCCATGGGGACTGGACTAAGAGTCCTGAGTCTACTGCACGCTTGTCCTGGTAGAATCACGCAGGGCACCACCGGTGAATGCGTGAACTTAGTCCCGTTCGGCAAGATACATACCAAGATGATCGCCGTATGCGATGTACATTTGCTTGTTGCGTCCAGTTGTAGGAATTCCCCGTGACCGCTCTTCCTCGGGAGAAGTCTCTAGCCTATTTACATATATAGCAGCAGATCAAAGAACGTATTCTAGTCGATACACCAAGAGTTGAGCCATCGATAGCTTCATGTCGTCTGTCAGTCGAACACCCAGATGACCAGGTGACGAAACTGTTGGTTCCTCCCCGCAGCGCGCACGACCACTTGCTCGAAGTGGACCCCTGAAGCTTGCCGTAGTGTCGTGGCGTGAAGCTTGGCACTGACACATGGACCAGAACACTGTTCCTGATCGCTTCGTCGCCGCATCCCCATCATCACCTGCACCTCCTCACGTCCCAACATCGTCTAATTGCGGCTTTGCCACACCGACTTCCGTTTTGCCAAGATGTGTTCGTGAATCCGCGGATCTCGCCAGACCTGCCGGCGAGGTACCGATTTGCACGCGTCGCGACTGGATATATTCACCACGCGCAATGAACGTATGAAGACGTCAAAACACTTCGAGAATGACCCAATACTTTCGAAATGACCGAATCATGGCGTTTCAGACGCGTATCGCGTTTCGAGGTGGCATTGACAGCGGTGAGTTGCAGTATCTTATCGGCGCGACTTCTGCCAAGACCTCTCGCCCGACGAAAGTTCGGAACATCGGTGAAATGCTCCAAGCACAGCGCATGACTGTGCGTCAATTCAATGGATAACACGTCCCGATTCCTACAGAGGCGCTCGGTCCGTCTACTCATAACCTGGTGATTTCCTCTTTTCTCTTTGCAAACAACTTTGTCATTGTATTATATCCACGATCTCCCAAATTGGCGTACCAAATTTGACCGGACGCAACTACCACAACCCTTATTCTTGTTACATCACTTTGACTCAGCGTATATGCGCCTACCAATTTAAGGTCGCAGTTCTTCTCTGGTAGCCTGGTTGCATCCACACACATAGTTACGGACGTCAACAGCAGGATAATGAAATATCTACCCACCTTTTCAGAAGACCGCAGCGCGCAGAGGACTTCCCTTAAAGACATAGCGCACGAAACAGTTGGCGAGACGTACATCGAAGAGGATCCATCGGTAGCAGAATGGTTCCGCGAATTCATTCCCACCTCACATGGCGCCGCAGAGTATGTACGCGAACTATTTCCGAGCGCACGGTGGCTGAGGCGGTATAACTTACATTGGCTGGCTGGAGACGCTATCGCTGGTATTTACAAAACCCCTGGACCCCTTGCTGGCCATTGCTAAAGAAAATGAAGGTATCACGGTCGGTCTTGTCGTCGTTCCACAAGCCATGGCATATGCTTCGCTTGCGCGGCTGTCACCCGCCTTTGGTCTTTACACTACGTTTACAGGCGCGTGTTTATATTGGATCTTTGGTACATCTAGAGATATCGTCATCGGTGTACGCTATTCATTTCACTATACCGTAATCAGCTAATCCAAGAATAGACGACAGCAGTTGGGTCCTTACTGATTGGAAGCGCCGTCAGCAAAGTTGAAGCGGAACACCCAGGGGTGTATCAACCTCAGGAGATTGCACATGCGCTAAGCTTCCTTGCTGGCGCCATTATTCTCGTCTTCGGTATCCTTCGTCTCGGCTTCATCATCGAGTTCATCCCGTACATTCCCATCTCAGCATTCGTCACCTCGGCCAGTATTACTATCATCTCGACACAGCTGCCGACTTTGATGGGCATTACAGGGATCAACACGCGTGAGTCTCCGTACAAGGTGTACGTCAACTTCTTGAAGGGCTTACCCACGGCAAGACTGGATGCGGCGATCGGTATCACATCCATCGTACTCCTGTACTTGATCAAGAACCTGTGCGCTAAGATGGAGGTGCGACAACCTCGGAAGAAGAAGATGTGGTCTATGATCTCCTCGCTGCGTCTTACATTCACTATCTTGTTGTACACCCTTATCAGCTGGCTGGTACATAGGACGACACCTGCAGGCGAAGAAAAGTTCCGGATCGTAGGTCATATTGAGAAGGGTTTCAGCCATGCAGGTGTACCAAAGATGGACGGAAAGCTCTTCGGCTTGGTGGCTACAGAACTCCCGGCGATCATCATCATCCTCATCGTCGAACACATCGCCATCGCCAAGAACTTCGGACGCAAACACAACTATACCGTCATCCCTTCACAGGAGATGATCGCACAAGGCGCTGCCAACATACTGAGTCCTTTTGTGGGTGGTTATGTGTGTACAGGCTCTTTCGGTGCTTCTGCTGTTCTCTCCAAGGCTGCAGTGCGCACTCCGTTATCCGGCGTCTTCAGCGCAGTGGTCCTAGTGTTGGCGTTGTATGCGCTCACAGCTGTCTTCTACTACATCCCGAACGCAGCGCTTGCTGGTCTGATCATACACTCCACCGTTGATTTGATCAAAGGACCAAAGGATTTGCACAAGTACTACCAACTGTCGCCGTTCGAGCTATTCATCTGGGTTTGTGGTGTTGTCATCGCATTCTTCACCGATCTCGAGACGGCGATCTACATTACTGTTGGCCTCTCCTTTGCAATGCTGCTCGTCCGCATGGCGAAAAGCCCAGGCAAGTTCCGGGGTGCTGTTGAGGTGACGCGCATCGTACGCGACGACCGCTCCTGCGATCAGTCCGTGTCGACATCAAGCGCGTCGCTATCTTCACAGCCACACGGGGAACAGACGCATCCTGCTGTAGCTATGCAGGAAGCTCGGCAAGTCTATATGCCCTACGACGTCACAGACAACCACAACCCGAACATCACCGTGGAGCCGGCATACCCCGGCGTCTTCATCTATCGTTTCAGCGAGAACTTCAACTACATCAACCAAGCTTATCATGTTGACTACCTTGCCTCTTACATTATCTCAAACACCCGACGGACTCAAGCGGATGACGGTATCCGCGCATGCGATCGTTTGTGGTGCGACGCGCCACCCACGGAGAAGCTCATCGAAGAGTCGTCATGTCTGCCCGTCTTGCGAGCCGTTGTTCTTGACTTCTCCACCGTCAACATCCTCGACATTACCAGCATCGACGGATTGAAGAGCTTACGCGAGACGCTTGATCGCCATGCAGCGCCCGGTTTGGTAGAATGGCACTTTGCTGGTGTTCACAATCGGTGGACACGCAAAGCGCTCGCCTTTGCAGGCTTTGGTTTCCCTGCTATCGTAACTGCAGAGTACACAGGAAACTGGTGTACTGCCTACACCGTATCGGCAAGTCTCGCAGGCGCGACATGCGAAGAGCACAAAGAAGTAGAAGCTGCACGGAGGGGATTGGGAGCCAGGGACGAAGAGCAGGGCAAGGACTCCACAGAAACAAATGCACTTGAGGTGCAGTTGTCTTCTACGAGCGAGAAGCAGAAGTTTTACCCGATTTACGGAGTTGACAGGCCGTTCTTCCATCTTGATCTTCACGACGCCGTTGACGCTGCAGTTCGCGATGCGAGGAAGGCTGATGAGCACGAGGCGCGCACGAGTTGTACATCGACTGCATGGTCAGGGATGCCAGCGGCCCAAGAAGAAGCATAGATGTCTGCGTCGTCGTTTTTTTCTTTCGACCCATGTCGGGTAATGGCGTTTTGCATGTCGGGCGTATTAGCGTAATTGGTGTCTCGGTCTGGCGTAGCATCAGCATTTGCATCATCGGCGCTCAAGAATGGCTAGCATTTAGAAGCACAGAATGTTCGTATCAATAATACATCTCCTCACTACCATAGCTTCCACCGACGACTGTAACCCCTTTGCCCCCATCATGTGCTATGTCGCACCTGGCGGGTACCTAGTCTCGCTACCATATGCTTCACTCCTCAAGCTCCAAGTTATAATCTCATCCCGCGTCATGTTCCCCAGAGTCATTCTCATCGCCTCCCTCACAATGTTGTCGCGCTCTTGCACACCGCCCAGTCTTGCATGTAGATCCCTATACTTGGTACTGTATTCCGCTTCCAAATCAGGCGTACGAAAGGGTGCCATTGCTTCGATCTTGTTCTTCTGCCGCTGGTACGCTAGCATGAGTTCGGCGTTGCGGCGACGGGAGTAGGCGGCATCGTCTAGAAAGGGGAAGAATGTGTTGTGAGACATTAGACGGAAGTGTATGTGTTTGTGTGTGGATCTGTATGTCTAGTTCAAGCTCGCCTCCTAGTTGAGAAGCTTATGTTCAGTGTACAACATGGATGGTACACTTTGATGACGTATATGAATATCTAGATCGGCACATGGACGCTTGCTATGGTAGAATTAGTTTGACTACAAAGAAATGTATGTGACAAACAGATCTTCCTTCGATCGTCTGGCCTCTCTCATTATTGTTCGACTACTTTCATTGAACTATGAGTGGATGCTAGTGTATACTATGATATTAGAGCAGCTCCGATATACATCGTAAGCTGAACCCCTAACTTCCCCGTTACTGCTTCTCTACCTCCAATGGCGGGACCAATAGAAACTGAATTCCACCTCCTTGCCCTCTTCCATTTTCGTTTTGTATGCTTCCATCTGCAGATGTTGCTTCCGGGTAAGCCACTCATGACAGACGAAGTGTCGATGCAGACCACGAGGCGCGACAGAGCCAGCAGCCACGATGGCTTGGTCAATCAGATTGCCATCCAGATTGGGACGGTCCCCATCTGAAAGCTGTTCCGGCCAGGCACCCTCCTTGTCTTCGTCCTCCTCATTCGGTACGAAATCCTTCGCCCTTTCCTCTTCTTCAGTGGCCTTCTTAGACCCGGTCACCCGACCATCGCACCACTCGCATACAAGCCACGAATCTTGGTCCTGTGCATCGAATGAGCTCCCACATGGACATTCTCCTGGTTCATCTCCCGCCAGCATCTCCAATATTGCCGCACCACCAGGTTTAGCTTCGTTCTCGA